CAGGCAATGCACATGGCGAACACGACCTTGAGACCAGTCATGTAGCCGTCGATGACGTCGTGCTGCTGCTCGCTGGGGAAGACGTTGCGGATCTCGGTAGCGCCGGTGAGGACCAGGAGGGCGCGGTCGACGCCCGGGTTGAGGCTCATGACCTTGCTGATCATCTGGTTGACGAAGGCGGCCTGGGACCCGGAGACGAGGAAGGCGCCGCCGAGGCCCTGGAAGAAGAGGAGCATGCCGGTGGCGGAGGCGAGGTCCTTGGGGTCGACGGTGCCCTGGACGGCGATCATGGGGATCTGGAAGGCGAGGCCCCACCCGGCGCCGGCGAGGATCTGGTACCCGATCCACTGGCCGGTGGAGGAGTTGATGTCGAGCAGGTAGAGGAGGCCGCTGCCCACGGTTGCCATGACGCCGCCGGCGATGAGGAGCGGCTGGTAGTAGCCGGTGGCGGAGACGAGGGCGCCGCTGGCGATGGTGGAGATGGTGACGGCGATGATCATGGGCAGGTTGCGGACGCCGCTCATGGTGGGGGAGGTGCCGTGGACGGACTGGAAGTAGACGGGGATGTAGTAGATGGCGGCGAAGAAGCCACCGGCAAAGACGAAGGCGAAGGCGCTCATGATGTAGTTGGTTCGCTCCTTGGCGAGTCTGGGGGGGACCATGGAGCGCTCACCCTGGAACCACTGGAGACCAGCCCAGGCAGCGACGATGGCGACGAAGCCGACGAGGAGGCCGATGACGACGGAGGAGTTCCAGGGGTGGGCGACACCACCGTACTGGACACCGAGGAGGTAGGCAACGACACCACCCATGACCAGAGCAACACCTGGGAGATCCATCTGGCGAAGCTTCTCGATGAGGGGAGCCTGCTCCGGGACGGCATGCTTGGGGGTCTGGAAGAAGAGGAGGATGATGCCGGCAGAGACGCCCCCAATGGGGAGGTTGATGTAGAAGCACCATCGCCAGCTGACGTTGTCGGTGAAGGCACCGCCCAGGAGGGGGCCGATGACACTGGCGAAACCGTAGGCGGCACCGATGATGCCGGTGAAGGCCGGGCGGTTCTTGGGGGGAGCGGCGAAGGCGATGATGGTGTAGGCTCCCGCGCCGAGACCTGCTGCGCCAAGACCGGCGATGGCACGGCCGGCGATGAGGGCTTCGGCGGAGGGGGCGGCGCCACAGATGACGGAGCCGAGCTCGAAGATGAAGATGGCGATGAGGAAGGATGTCTTCAGGGGGAAGTACTTGTAGATTTTACCCCCTATTTACAGGAGTCAGCATGTATCTAGATTGGTGGGGTTGAAGGCACTTACATGTAGATTGGAAGGCGCCGACTGTCATGAAGAAGGCGGCTCCATACCAGCCAGCCTTGTCGAGACCCTTGAATTCGTCTGTGATCTTGGGAATGGCGGTTGCAACAATGGTCTTATCAGGGGTTAGCCATGTCATTGAAGTTGATTGGGTATAGGGGGGAAACATACCATATCCAGAGAAAGGAGGAAGATGCTGAGGACGAGAGCCACGACGATGAATGTCATCTTGATTCCCGTAGGATACTCTATATCATCGGGATCGTTTGAGCCGGCCACATCCTCTTCCTGTTTGGTTGAAGCGGGCCGCTTCTCGTCTGAGGACCCTTCGTCAAGTTCCTTTGCTTGGGGGGCGGCAAGGTGGCTGGCTAGGGTAGATGCCGAGGAGGAGCGAGGATCGGTCTCATTCCCCAACTCCTTGAGTGGTGATAGCGCCGACATCTTGTTTGATAATCTTATCTGTTGATCTTGATCTTTGCTTTGTGTTAGAGAAGTGCTGATCATGGATTGAGTTGCTCTAAGATCTGATGCTCCGGAAACCAGTCTAAGGAGGAGCCGGCGCGGATACTTTATATCCTGTGTGCCCTCCACGGGACCGGTCCACGGGAGCCATGTCGAAACATGACGACCACCGTATAGATCCGTAAGGATGTCGGATTTCTAATCTTCGGGGACATTGCTTGCGGAGCGCAAGAGTCAGACACTAGTTAGCTCCAGCATAACGCCGAAGATTTGGCTAAGGGTGCAGATGATGGTCCGGAGAGTTTTCTGGCCAAACGACAAAGAATAATGAGCCGGGGCCCCTAGCTCAGCAAATGATACACGTCAACAGAGGTGAGTGATGGTGAAATTTGGCTCGCAAGCTGCTTGGCCAAAGTCCGTGACTAGGCCTAAAGCCGTGAAAAACATGCATGCTAGCGACAGCCGGACCCAGCGCTAGAACGAGATGTGCGGCAGGCTGAGGTTCTGGCCCGGCGACTAATTACAGCAAGTCTCCGCCGTGTGCTAGGGGGCTTGTTAGGGGCCTGCTCACCATGAGCCATCATTGGGGCACGCTCATTGGCTACCGAACTCCGAGCAGACGAGATCCGGCCTCAGATCGACCACATCTGCTAGGCCCTCCTGGTCTTAGGCCCTGCGCTGATCCGGCCGGCACTCTATTTTTCACAGGCAGGACAGCCCTGAGCAGCCTTATCCCCCTCGCTAAAACCCCCAAGTCCGCAATCAATCCGCCGCCAGCTTCACTGAGCGGCCGCTGCTGACATACACCAGGCAAAAGTCCGCAGACGCTGCGCAAATGATTGCTTCACGGTGCGCCACATGGAGCTTCCGTCGAGTTGATTTCCCACTATCGCATCACTTGCTGACCAACCCCGGAGATAATGCAGACGGCAGTCTATTTGGACCTGCGCACGATGGCACACAATGACGGAGGATGTTTTCACAGGGCCTTACACCTACCGCCCTCTACGCTATCTCTAGTAGCTTGATGCCTAGTTCGTCACCCCAGCCCGCCATTACTCAACAGGACTTGATGGTTCATCGTGTCTCATCTCTGCGGACTTGACCCTCATAATTACCCACTACACGGTTATGCCAATGAGTCATCAGCGGGAATCATTCGCTGGTTCGATCTAGTTCCAGGGTGGACTTTACGTGAGCATGTTAGTTCAGTGGGACCATAACGCTTTAGCAATTGATCGTTACTCCTATCTCTGCTCGGATCTTATCTTCTCACTGGGTGCTAGAGAGTTGCTCCAACTAATTGGGTCTGTGTAAAGTTCACCCGTAGATCCTTTTCTTTGCAGCCGCAGCCTCGCCTGCATTGATCTGCCCGAAGCTATCTATGACACTTGCGATTGCATCTCTCACGTAAAACTTTAAGATCACACAGGAGCTCTGTCAGTAATGTTTGCGGCACATTGTATTTGTTGGTAATAAATTATCAATACTAGTTCTACATGGTCTGGTTGTTTACTGTGCCTTCTTACTCATCTCGCTGACTTTCGCTTCAAGCTACCCAACACCCCCTGGCCCGTAATCATAGAGGATTAATTGAGAACCAACAGGCCAGCACAGATCGTTTCCACATGTGAGTCGCATCATCCTCGACTTGGTTGCTACTTGAGATATGAAGCCTGCATACCTGCTGCCTGCTAGGAACTGGCACCTTGTTGACTGCCGTGTCCCCAACAAATAACCCATCATCCTCACGGAAAAGGGGGCCGGAGATACGATAAAGAGGCATCCAGCCCACCATGACACCTCGCATGTGCTTTGCTTAGGTGCTCTAGATCCTTAAATCCGATGCCGTTATCATCATCACGCTCTTTACTCTCTGAAGATGGCATGTCATCAGGACGCCTGTTTCTCCGTACCGCTGGCAGCATTGAGTAATTACCAAGGGGGCATTGACAACTGGCCTGCCTACTGCCAATCTTGGACGAATTGCCGCCTCTGACGAAACCGTAAGCCTCGACCGCTTCCGCGAACGTACCGATATCATTACTTCACCTTCTCGTGGATTAGATGCGCCCTGTATTAGCCCCGAGGTAGATCGGATCCTTGTGAATCTAGCGACCAAGAACAAGGAGAACCGAACCATCCCGGATGGCTAGATTCACAAGAATCCGATCTACCTCGGGGCTTTTAGTCTTTCAACTTTCACGAGGACATCTGGAGGAAGGAACCGTGCAGCTAGGTCGTGCAGACTCGGTTGGAAGGCAACTAGGGACGCAGGCTATGGACTGGTAGCTTTGAGGGGCCGCCTTGAAAGGCTACTAGTGACCACCGTCATCGTGGCATGGAGTAGATACTGGTCAACCACGAATTCTGGATGCAGATACGCGCAAGATAGATCCCCGTCAAGCCTGAGGATAGTGATCGTAGGTGACATGCAGTCACATCAAGGCTGTGGGTGTATATCTCAGGAAGGTGTTCTTCGAGATGGCCAACGTATATCCCGAGCACTATCGTGCGGGATCAACCAGAAAGGTTTTCAACGATGTGAGGCGAAAGTGCTATCTCGAATGATTATCAGAGGATAGCAATCTGAAGGCTCGTTGAAACATCAAACCTTTGTCGCATAGCTGGGTGGCATGTGTATGCACTGTCTTGGGATGATTTCTGGGATGGGAACAAAAGCCGTTCATGTCGCCCTGGTCTCCTGAAATTAAGGTATGTATATTGCTGCGACCTGGCCCGAATGGAGGCAATCGTTGGGTAGCGGGTATTTAAAAATGCCAATTGCTTAGCATCTGGCCGTTTTGCGTATTCGGTTGGGCACAGCCATGCTCCAATGCAGCCTTAGTGGAGAAGCGAACTAGAAGCCAAGCACAGCCAAGGCTCACAAAGCTGAGATTAATCGCACTCGGTAGCCAATAATTCCTCCTGGTTCCTGTAATCCTCCAATCAGAGAGGAAATCATTGTCTTGGGCTTTCTTGCTCGATCCTGGGCACGCGACAATGCGGTCGAATAGAGGGGAGGCTATAATAAGGCAGGAGCGCCTCGGCAGTGATGCATACGTCATCGTCATTGAATATCTGAATCACTATATCTGAACCTCTGTCTGCTGCTCATCCTCGACTCAGAGCACTACGCGGAGCATTAAAAGACCATCCCGTGCCAGGAAGAGACTACCGCGCACCTCCGCAGCCACTGCCATCCAACCCTCCCCCCCCGCAACCCAAGAAATGGCCACCGAGGACCCCATCCGCAATGACGGACTGCCGTCCTACGGCGACGTCGCAACCACCGACGCCGCCAACCAAATGCTCCAGCCCACCACGCTCTACGCGGCCTCCCGCTTCATCCACTCCTCAGACCCCCAGGCCGCTCCCCTATACGAGCTCTCCCACTCCGTCGGCTTCCTCAGCGACACGGACCGCAAGGTCGTCCTGGAGCGCCTCGAGCACAACGTCCGCAACGTTGGCGGCGTCCCCACCGTCGCCACGCGCAAGCGGTCACTCTTCCACCTCACCCACCGCACGCCGGCCGAGATGCCCTCGTTCGCGTTCCAGGCCGAGTCCAGGACCCGCCGCACCTCCAGCATGGGCATCGAGAGGGCCTCGCGCTTCGGGCGCAGGTCGGGTTTCAGGGTGTGCCGCGCCTTCTTCAGCGGCACGGGGCCGGGGCGGTACGAGCCCGGGCCCGTCATGTTCTCCGCCGTGCCGCCCACGAGCAAGAAGCAGGACGTCGCGTGGGAGTGGAGCGACGGCGAGGGGGCCCTGCTGGCGCGCGAGGTGCAGACGGGGGGTTTGATGAGCCTGGTCGTGACGGCGGAGATGACGGCTGGTACGAGGGATGCCCTGGTCGCGGCCTGGTTGATGAGGGTTTGGTGGGGGCTTGCTGGCGGGTGATGGGACGGGTTTAGATTGAGGCTCCTGGTGATGGTGGCTGGGTTACGAAGAAACGAGAAACGAAAAGTTAAACGACACAAGGCGCAGAAATATAGATAAAAATCATGATATGCTATTCACGTTGGTATGGTCTCGTCAGATTGTCTTCTGGGAACTCGCTCATGTTAATACACGTCCCACAGACTAACTTTGCCATCTTTGGCTCCTCCAGCTACCCAATGTGTCGTTTTGGCCTGCTGCTCCCTTCTTTCCTTCACCGTGGGAGTATTCAATAATTGAATCCGTCTATCCTGATTTTCTGAGGTGGTATTTCCAGCAGTTGTCTTTGGTGTGTCTTCAGGCGTCGTGTTCGAGTCGAGATCAGCAAAGGCGACGGCGTAGCAGCCGACCTTGTGCCATTGCAAAACTGCCAGCTCTTTGAGCGTCTTGCAAGAGTATATGCGGAAATTGCCATCCCACCCGGCCGTTGCGAATATCTTCCCGTCGGATCGGATCTTGAGGCCCTGCTGGCCAGAGTGTTTCGTGTTCGCCACCTTATGGGGGTGTTCCCAAGCTGTCATCTTGGCCTTGCTCTTGGCATTGGATTTTCCAGAGCTTCCACCAAGCTGTGCTGAAAGGAGAGACGGCCCTGGTGGAGTGTCTGTCGGTAACTCTTCGATCTCCTCGATGATTCGGTTGTCCGGGTCGAGCACCGCCATGCCGTCTTGCTGGACGAGAGGGAGTGGGTGTTTGGCGACAATGGCGTCGGCGCTGGAGGTTATGAAGTATTTGCTGGTAGGGTGTATCGCGAGAGACAATATTGGTTGAGTATGGGCCTGTGATCTGTATGTCATGGTCCATTCCCCATCCGGGTCGAGTCGATGGACGGATGCGTAGCCGTTTTCGAAGGCAGCGACGAGAAGAAGAGAGCTCTCTAGGTTGGCAAGTGCTACGCTCATGGCCATGCCATTATCTTTGCCGGGCTTAACGGTGTGTATGCGTTTCTGGGATGGTAGTTCGTATATATCAATCTGAACTAGTCAGCTCCCGTGTATTGTACAGAAGAAGGGGGCGTGATTACTTGTTCAGAAGCAATGGTATTCGGCACTGCAATCAAAATTTCAGGAGCCTCGTCAAAACTGGAAACTGGACTATCAGAAGTTGCAGCGGCTGCTCCGAAAGCGCAGAAATTCATTGTGTTGACTTCAAGGAGATGGAGCATCCAAGGCGTTGGCCTTGGAACTGGCGTCTCCTCGAGCGGCAACGTGGTGCTGAGGCGTTGCTCGTCATCCTCGGCGACTTTCCAAACAACCAGTTTGTGGTCGCGTCCGTGTCTATCAAACGTCAGGGAAAAGAAAAAAAGAATCAAGGTATCGAGTTCTCTCAAAAGGCGCCGTCTTACGTGATGACTTTGTTGTTACCCCAGCCTCGGATCCCGAGAATGGCATTTTCATGGGCTCTCCAAACCACCCTGGGTCTCATAATGGTGAGATCCCACAGAACTACAAACCCGTCCGCATCTCCGGTAGCAAGCCGCGAATTATGCCTCAGGAAGGCAGCGGCATGCACCTGGGCCTTGTGGCCCCGAAGGATGTTCTTCGGGGTAGGAGGATTATGCTCTGCCATGCTCGTGTTGTACAGTATCACCGGGACATTGGCTACATATAAGAATAGAGTGTTTCTTATGGATAAAATCGGTCCGTCTGCAACTCCAGCATGTTTGAGAACTCTGGCATTGGACTTTGGTGATGACAATAGATTAACCGTTCTTTGGTGACTGTCTGTTTGCCTGTCCAGGTGCTTGGAAAGAGCCGTCCCATCAGCTGGCTACCCGGTAGTAGAATCACGTGACAGCCATAGTTTGTGACCTCCTTCTCGATTTCGATCTCGTCAATTGCCATAACCAACTTGGTCAATTTCTCAATATCCGGGTCATCGGAGATACCTAGCGCGAAGCGGTGAAGAGTCGAAGAGAGAGTGGCCGTCACACTCCTTGCCGCCTCATTCTGGGCGAGCAGATCTCTGTGGGCGCGGACTTGGTATCACGGCTACGCCGTCTTGTCTGCACTGCTGCTGCAGCGCAGCCTGTGTAACCACACCCCGGACTCACAGCACCACGACTGGACCTTTTGAGCAGCAAGAGGCATGCATCAGAAGGCAATGGTACATGTGGCGAATATCGGCTAAGAGTATCGTCCGACCGACATAGCTGCCTACTCGCACACCCTATGGAGCGCGAACCTATCGGTGCACTTTCCGCAGACAATACGGCTGTGAACATGCATATGGCTGCTGCAACTTCAATTTCTCGCAGACGCATGCACCAAGCTCACCGCCTCCTCAGTGGATTTGCACTTTCCATGTACCGAGCCAGCCAGACTGCGTGATCTTGTCACTCTCCAACGCCATGGCCTCTTGGTCTACATCAGACACGCATGCGTATGTATTGCCCCTCAAAAGTCTCCGTGTAGCCAACGACTCATGTCCATGCGCTGCGCATGAGGGGTATTTTGCCTCGTGCTCACTTCATAGTACATGGTGGCTGCAGGACTCGGTGAGCCCAAGGATGGGTGGTCCGCGTCGAGCGCCACAGAGTTAGGCATCCGTCACCGCGTCATCTCCCAAAGCGTTAATTTGTCCTGGACTTGTGCAAAAGAAACGGGATACTTTCCTCTTTCCGTCATGTGGTTCCTTGTGGGCGCTGAGCTCTCGGTTTCCCTTTCCGCGGGCGACAACGAGTCAAATAGTGAGAGATCTTTCCAGCCCGTTCCGACCTCCTGGAAGTTGGGCAAGCTTGCCGACATGGACTGATAGGTAATTTATTACTCATTACACAGCATCTCGGGGATGCAATTGATGCCATATGTACATTTCGGGCCTTGTGCATTCGGTCTACATGTTTGAAAAGGTAGTATGCACACATTCCGGCTGCATTGGACCCATTCATTTCGTCATCTGACAACACGGAGAGAAGGCAAAGATACCGGAGGGGTGAAAGGCACCCAGGCTCTGAAAGTAGGCTACCTACACAGCTGATCCAGTCGGCGATTTGTGGGCGGGAGTGCCTGGCTTGGCCGGCGTCCGCTGGTGCAGATTGACCACCAATACACCCACATGCCTAGGAATCCGTTGCTTGGTCCAAACGCAGAAAAGTGGGATTTAGGGCGAGAGAGCGAGTCGTTGCCATAAGCTTGACTTTTACGTGCGTCGAGGGCACGTTGGACGGCCGACGTGGTGTGGGCCATGGACTCATCCACAGGACGGCTCTGAGTTTGAGCAACCGCATTAACTCTTGCTGGGCGCAATATTTGCGAGTATCAGCATTGGTATAACGAATCAGGCGCTGTTTGCCGTAGGACCATGCAGTGTATGGGCTACGATGCCTGGTCTTTCGTGCATCCGCACCGTCGAGGGTTGGCCAATTCCGCGGACATGGATAAGGGACAACAGGGACCACGCATTGCTATGGTCTCTCGATCGCCATTGCCATCTGCCGGAAGCAGGCGGGAGATTTCAGCTCCAGCGGAGTCTGCAACCCTTCTGCTCTGGCCTATCAAGTAGAGCCCACGGTAAACCAGCCCCTCGCATCCATCTCGCATCTCCCCAACCCTCGGAGCTTTAGTTTTGTCTCCTCTTGCCTCATTCCTGCATTAACCTGGTGTATTTGTGTAACCCGATTGTCCAATTGGAATTGTACCTGGGCCCTACCAACCCCTTCCGGTTTCTCGTCATGTCAACGCGCGCTGGAGATGCCTAATGTCGGTCCGTATTGTCACAGCGACCTCCCCGACCGAGTACATGGAGCTACCATCCTTATCTGCCTCTCTAGGTATGATACCAAGGAGGGACAAGGCGTCGCTGGAACTCCTGCCTCGGGATTTCTTTCTACGAAAAACAGTTATCCAACATCTGTTGAGGAATAGCAAACTTGTTCCAAAAGGTTCCACCCTTGCTTCAGTATGGCCCTACCAGGGACATTAGGGCTCATCTTTTGCTCGGTTGAGATTGTATCAGAGGCCGCTCGTTGACTTTGTGACCCCCCAAAGATACATGTTCATCATGCCTGTGCATGTCCGTTCGGCTGCCAAGTAATTGCCTGCGCGTGCTTACACGCCCCTCCCCCCGCCAGCTCAGATTCTGAAACTTCTTACAAGATCTGGGCGCATGTTGCCTGACCTGGATGTCAGATACGCTGAGAGGGACGCGAACCAAGGTACCCTGGTGCGCTCTCGTTCAGATCTTCCCGGGCTAAACGTAACCCAAGCCATTGGCCAGCTCGGGCTTGAACAGAGCTTGCACAGGCTACGCTTTCCTTAAGCTGAAAATGTGCTGAGTACCCGAGCGAGCGCCTGGGTCTCTGATCCTGAGTAGTCGTGCGTTTGCCTTCCCCATCCTCGTTCGGTGACCCAACCCATCCTACGGCAGATATTCGATCAGTATCTGGATCTCATATTTCCCCATATTCTGGCCACAGGCGGGCGGACTCTTACTCCTACTATATCGGCTAGTCTTACCTGTTCGCCCTGGCCAGCCCGCTCAAGCCGCGACTGGAGGTATACGAGCAGCTCCCAAAGTCCCAGGCATAGCACCAGCGTCCCCCTTGAATGACTGCACCAAGTCTTCATCGCCACACAGCACGCCATCCTGCTGGTATTACTGACTATGGTCTAGCTACCATTCAGTGCTGTGCTGTCCCCAAACCGAGCATACAGCGACTTCTCATCTTACCTCGGTAGACCAATCGAAGCGGAGCGTTCGACCTGCCACAAGGTCTCGGAAGTATTGGGGCCTCAGGCGGGCTGGTACCTCGCCAACAGAGTGAACCAAGATGGAGGGATCAGAGAAAGCTGCTCGAGTGGCACCACCGGCGCAGAGGGTACGAACAGGCTGTTTAACATGTCGGAAACGCCACCTGAAATGCGACGAGGCTAAGCCCACGTGCGAGAACTGCCGAAAGGGCAGACGTGAATGTGTGCGAGGGCTTAGGCTCACCTTTACAAATGTCTACGTCCTCAGTGAAGGGCTCATTCCTTGGGTTCTTGGTACACTCGGTAAGTCATGCCTCCGGTTAATCTGAATTCTCTTAGTACTGGGAGCTGGTGTTGGACGGCATACTAATGGGGGTTGTATAGTGGAATTCGTGGATGAGTCTAAAGCTATCGCTTCGGAGTATGAAAAGGGCTTTCTCAAGAAACCTTCCCGGGCAGCTGTGTCCAAGGCCGAACGATCAGTACTTAGGAAGAAAGAACCCGCGCAACAATGCCAGGCTGCCGGCCCAAAAGCTGGCGCGTACCAGCGAATCCTCCCCGCACCGAAGACTACTACGCCGGCAGGAGATGGCGGAAAAGACTGCGAGCAGCCATACAAGGAGAAGAGGAGATCCCAAAAGATCTCAACACGTCAGTATAAGAAATTGTTGCCGGGGGCTCAGCCCCAGCAGACGGATGGAACGGACCAATTCCAGCTGCCCACACCTACACCGGGGCAGACAATGGCACAGCCCGGGTCGCTGATGCCCGCCAAAGGCGAGCGAGCCCCCAAGGACTGCGCTCAGGGGGATGATTTTGCCTCCTTGTCGATGCTACGACGAGCGTCACTGGTCGTTGACGGCTTCTCAAAGGATGCACTGGATGAGTTTTTGCACTCGCAAGGCATGTTCGACAACACGAAGGCGGAAGAGTATCTCAGCAGCGAACATCAGATATGCTTTACGCAAGAGTTCGTTGAGTCGATTGGCAAGTGGATAGACTGCTTTGATGGCCAGTCGGAGTTCAGCCACTCTCTGCCATTCAGGGCTCTTGACTGTCCCATGCTGCTGAATGCCATGTACGCATGTGGTGCAAGGCGGAAACAAGGCGAGGTGACGAAAGACCAATATGATTGGTCCCATTTCTACTATAGTACGGCTACCACCAAGCTCTTGAAGGCCTTGTCACGCCCTGATACAGACATGGAAAACTGTGCGATAACATCGGTCATACTTAACGTCTACGAGACCATGGCAGATAGGATCCATGGACGAGCACACCACGGCCCAGGGTCCCGGGCAATCATCAACTTTTGTAACTGGAATGCTAGTAGTGGTGGTATCGCAAGTGCCAGCTTCTGGCTGAGTGTGGGCATGGAGACGCTGAACTGCCTCACCTCGCACTCCCAGGTCACATGGGACCCAAGAAGCTGGGGCTTTGCCTTGAATTTCCCAGCCGAGCAATCCAGAGACACTAGCCCAGACGAGGAGGCGGTCTGGCTGCACCGCGTCCTGTACATTGCTGCCATGACTGTCAACTTTAGAGCGCGCGGCTTCCATGTCGACCCCAACAATGAAATGGTGCAGATGGGGGAACGGCTGCCACAGTGGCAGGATTTGAAGATGCTGTGCGACTCCTGGAGTGATTTGTGCCCTAGGTCAATGGCCCCGATAGGGTACACAGATCCCAGACCAGGAACGTCCGTTTTCCCTTATATTTGGTGAGGCCCTTGATGACCACTCAAGGCTCTACAGCCTGGATGTTGCTGACCGGTCTTGCAGGCTGATCCACCGTTCTGCCGTGATGGGCCGCTTGTTCTATCACGTCGTCCAATACTTGCTTGCGGAGATAAACCCGGTCATGCCGATTGAGTCTTCCCCCGTCATGCGAGACGTGCGACTGCACCACGCGCGCCAGGTTTGCGGGATTGCTGTGAGATGCAAGGAACACGTCGTGCCGGGGATTCTAATCCAGTCCCTGGCCCTGGTCGGGGTCTGTCTTGTCAACGAGGATGAAAGAAAGGAGGCGATGAGCCTGTTGGAGGGGATACGTGAGAGGAGCGGTTGGGGTATCAAGCAGGCCGAGATGAGGCTGAAACTCGTCTGGGGCTGGGATTCGGTCTTCACCGTGCCCCCGTCTGTCAAGAGGGAACCCCCAAGCCCGGCCAGGCCTCCCCGTGGGCCCCATGTGCTCATTGGGCGTGGGATATAAGGCGAGACGCATTTGCTGAGGACGGAAATGAAAGCAATCAAGGAGGGCACCAACAACTCCCTGCCATCATAGAACGGCATTGCATTCTTCGATGATGCTAGTGGGGCCAGGGATGTTGACTGAACTGCAGTTGCAGTCATAAATTGATCACAGTGTTATATTTTCCTTCTAAGTAGTAGTTCTTGATGATGGGATGCTCAGAAAAATGGCGAGAGTTAGGAATGTTTGAACTGGACTTGAAGTAGAAAACAAAAAGCAGAACAAAAAAAAGGCAAGGAGTTAACGAGATAACGATGATTGGGATCGGAGCGAGCGAGCAAGTGGCTTTCAATATTTGTCTGTATGTTTGGTTCTATCTAGTATTGTCAATTTCCCTTGTCTAGATTTCCAACTGCCCCCTCCGTGAGCCAACGTAAGCTTCCCACTCATGGAGCGCATCCCCTCACGACTTGGAGCCATTCCCCTGGTTGAAATTCATGCTGTAGCCGCCCGTGTTCTCATCCTTGACCATCTGGAAGTTCTCCGTGCTCAGCCCAAACGGCTTCAGCAAGCCGTTGCCCAGGTCCTTGAGCTTCCCCCACATCTCGGCCGTCTCCCTCTCCTGGGCCTCCTTGACCCTCGGCGGCAGCTCCCTCAGCTGGACCCTCACGGTCCTGGCGTCGGCCGGGGTGAGCGTCCCCGACGGCAGTTTCTCCAGTTCGCGGTAGTCGGCCTCGGCGGCGGCCAGGGACGACCACGTCCCCGACTGGGCGTGCGCGCGGGAGCGGCGCAGCAGGGCCTTGATCCGGATGCGCTGGATGTCGGTGGGCTGGGCGGCCGGGTCGTGGGCCTTTGCGGCGCCGGCGCTGACGATCTCCTCGATGCCCTCTTCCTCCTGGTCGCCGTCGTCCTTGTCCTTGGGGGGCGCGGAGGCCGGCTGCTCCAGGGCCTCGAGGGCGGTGAGGGAGGCGGTGGCCGACTTGACGGCGTCCTTCCACTGCTCGAGCTTGAGGTGGCAGGCGGCGATGTTGGAGTGGAGGACGGCGCGGGGGAAGTAGGCGGCCCTGGGGAGGGGGAGGAGGGCGTCCTCGTAGCGGGAGATGGCGTTTTCAAAGTCGCTTGACGAGAAGAGGGTGTTTGCGTCTGCCTTGATGGTCTGCGACTCTTGCAGAGCGGCCTGGTGGGCGAGTCAGCGGGCTGTGGTGAATCGTAGAGGATGGGAATATTGGATGGTGGATGGATGGCTTACTGCTTCCTCTTCTGGTGTGAGCTTCACCTCGTCCTCTTCGTCTTCCTCTGCGGGCGGCGGCGACTTCTGGCGCGAGGGCTGCTTTGGGCGTGGGATGGGCGCATCCGGCTTTTCGTCTTTATTCTCCGCGGCAGCCATTCTAGACTCTATTTGATGCTATGCGTGGCAGGGAATGTGATGTGGACGGGGAACAGGTGAACTGGTGATGGTCGATTGATTGAATCATCTTTAGTGGTTGTGAGCGGGGCTGTTTGTAGGGCCTATCAAGCATCAACGCCCCAGATCGATCATCAAGTAACAGAATGAAGTATAAAATTTCAAATAGGACCCGACATGAAAAGATGCTGAAATTAGATACAGTTGGTACAATTTTTCGTTACTAAAATAGACTGTACTGTTCAGTTTTAGGGAAGCAAGTGGGTGACAGAAGAAATGAGACACCAAGGTAAGGTAGATTGAACGGTGGTCAGGAGCAGACCACTTTCTATAATAACTTAACTAATGAGGTAGTATAAAAAATCCTTTAATTACCCTCAATAATCTAACATAGTTTTCATAGACTCAGGAATTAGCAGTATACTGTTTGAGTGTCTTATATTCGATGTCACCTAGTTAGGAGGGTAGGTTCACCCATCTTTCGTTGGCACATGTTGTGAGAGACCCTGCTGGCTTTTTTCAACCATTACTATTTGATGATCACGATAATTTAAAATGAAGGCATCGGCGCATGGGGTCTTATGCGCAATTAAAAAAAAAAATCAACAGGAAACTAAATCACTGTCGACATGGCAAGAAAAGGTGGTTTCAATCACACGTAAGACAGGCCGTGCCGAGAGGCAGGACACTTGGACACATCATCATCACCATTCCTCATAGAGAACACCCTACATGGGAAAACGTCACTAGCCTCTGACAAGATGTTCGTCGCTCAGTCAGATCTCAGCTATATGCCGGGGGCCAACCTTTTCGATGTGTTGGCTCGCCAATCGTTTGAGTCAAGGTTCAGTGAATGGCGCCGGCGCCCGACCGAGTTCACTGCCAGCACTCCCGTGCCCAGACGAAGAATATCAAGTTCATGAAAGAAGTCTACCATGTTGGTTTGTCATTGGTACATTGGCCCATGTTGGGAGTGACGGTAGTGATGGCGTACGTACGATACGGCAGCGAGCAGCCCACTCAACCATCTCTCGACCAAGAAAGAGCGGATGGCGATAAACTCACATTTTATGGCTTCGTTTACTTCTGGAGTAAAAACCGGTTGTGTTATTTTCTTTACATGTCCCGTAATTTGCCTCTTCTCTCAAGAGATTGGAGCCTGGGAGTTATGCCTCTACAATTCATTATGTGATATACATCCATCCTTTTTCGTGCCATAAAACAACAAGAACTTCTACCGCATTATAATTTGAACAAAATAAACTTGATATTTAGCCCGCTTTGATATATGACGGCCACACCGACGCTTCATTGCCATGCCGGCTGGGGTGACTCATTCCAGGATCAACAGGCGATGATGCCCATGCTGCGTAATCGCCCACCAAGTAGCAGACGTTGGGAAAATGAATCTAGGGTTCTCCCCTTCCATTCGAGCTGTGCCTATTATGGGGGCCACGGGCATGTCTTAGACAAAGATGCAGGAGGCCAACCTTTTTCAAAGCTACTAGCGCCAGTTGACCACGCCCGGACGTCAGCAAAGTCCAAAACAAGGCACGAAGTGAAAGGAATGGGTGTGAACTGTATTAGAATACTAGAATCATGTATAAGTATCTTGCCTGTATCCTGACTTTCCTGGTAAAAACTCCAACTGGTTGGGCTTTTCAAACTCAGAGTGCGACTACTTTCTTGAACTGATCTTATATCGCTTCTTCACCCCGTTCCCAAACGGAATTATTTGCAAAAATGTCATCATCGGCTGAAATCAAGCCAGTAACTTCCAACGAGGAGGCTGTAGATTTATTGACAAGCTTCCTTGACCGCACCACGATAAAGGCTGACGAGCCCGCGGCAACGAAACCCAAGCCGCTCGAGTCTAAGTCGCCCGGATCCAACTATACCTTCGTCGACAGCCGGGAGGCTTTGTCTGATGCGATCGATGGTCTTGTTGATCTCCCGAGTAGCCCGCCATCTCTCTACGTCGACCTGGAGGGTAACAACCTCTCCCGCCACGGGACCGTCTCCATCCTCCAAATTCACGTCCGCACCACCGGGCACACCTACTTGATCGACGTCCTCATCCTTGGCCCCCTCGCGTTCTCTACCCCGGGAATTCTCCATGCCGAGACCACCCTCAAGTCGATCCTTGAGAGCGACAAGATACCAAAGGTCTTCTTCGACGTCCGCAATGACTCGGACGCCCTCTACTCCCACTACGACATCAGCCTCTCGGGCATCCACGACCTCCAGCTCATGGCGCTCGCCACCCGCAACCCCGGGCAGCGGAGACTCATCACCGGCCTGGCCAAGTGCATCGAGAAAGACGCGCCCCTTTCCTACACGGAGAGATTGCGTTTGGCCGCCGTCAAGGCAAAGGGGACGGCGCTGTTCAGCCCCGAGAAGGGGGGCAGCTACGCCGTCTTCGACGCGAGGCCCCTATCCAGGGAGATTGCGGAGTACTGCGTGCAGGACACCGCGATACTGCCCAGGTTGTGGTCGCACTACGATAGGCAGCTGAGCAGCGTGTGGGACGAGAGGGTGCGGGACATGTCGAGGAGGCGGGTGAGGGAGTCTCAGTCGCCCACTTTCAACGGCAAGGGGCGGCATATGGCGCTGGCTCCCGTAGAGTGGGCCAGGTTGAGGGACTGAATACTATTAGGGCTGGGGAGAGTTTTGAAACGAAAACGAACCGCTGCCTGTCTTTTAATGTCTCTGGCTATTTTAATGGTCTTGGAGGATCAAGTTGTTATCAACAACTCCAGCGGGAACTTTGCCGGACGGTCTATGATGTCTTAAAACAAGTATAAGCATCGTCGGTAGTTGACAATGTGAGGTCCAGTCTAGAAGTAGCCTGAGAGGCAATGGTGCTGTTCATCGCTCTTGAGTTTGAAGCTCTGGACTCTGGTCCATAGAGATTAGTTAACACGGATTCACATTCTCGCCATCTGAAAAGAAAGAAACCTGATTATTCACTAGGCTTTAACATGATATACCACCCTATGCCTTTCAGAAACTCAAGCAACCTGAGCCTTATCTGCCGCCATGTGCTCCAGGCTCGTTACCCCCATCAAAAAGACTTGCCATTACAACCCGGTCACCCTGCTCCCCCTCCCAAGGTTGCCATCCGTGCTGGGCAATGAAATTACCATAAACGAGCACATCCCCACCCTTCCAGCGATGCAGCACCCTGATGCTCTAACTGCTCTACTTTACAGGGTGATAGCTGAATGCAATCTCCTTGTAGATTTGGGTCTCGGAATTACCGTCAACACGAACGGGAAGAGAAATCACCTCACCAGTTACGAACCCATTCTTCTTGTAGAAATCGGCCGCCTCCTCGGTGCTTTCTAGATACAGTGGTGAGCCGGTCATGTAGGCATGCCGTATACCCCACTGCAACAGAAAGGATCCAATTCCGCGGTTACGATGTAAGGGGTCGGTGGCGATGAAGGTGAGGCCTAGATGATCATCCAGGTCCGTCAGCATACAGGCTTGCATTGAAGGAGAGGGGATTCGCTGCTCGGCGGGGGGGGAAGCATACGGTAGAAGGGAGTACTCCCGACGGAACGACTCTGAGCCTCAGCAGCCCGGGCGGTCCAAGCTGCCAGGAGGTCTAGGTCGGTGCCTTTTGGCCATACCCAGGGCGGCTCGACGTAGTTCTCACCGGGGTTCACGGGGTGTGACCATTTGACAAACGAGATGACCTTTTCGAGACTATTCTCCGGATCTATTGGCACGGAAGGAGTCAGCAATCCGTCGAGAACCCCGCAAAGCAAGGCGTATCGGCAGTCCTTACCATTGGAACCAATAATGACCACAAGTACATCCGTTTTCGGGTCGTCGATGTCGGCGAGGGCCTTGTTCTCGATGGATTTCTGGAGCGCTTGGCGAACGGCGGGGGTTGGAAACTGGGCACGGAGCAGGGCGTTGGAGCCAAAAGCCGCCATGTGAATCTCCGCGATGCGAGGCGCGTCTTGGCGTCTCGCAAGGCGCATGAAAGGTATCTTTACAGATGTCGCAGCCATGGTGGAATGGTCGCGATGTCAAGTGTTATGTGCGTTTGTTGGAGGGAAGTTGCTTTCTGCTGGCTGATACCGCCTGCAGCTCGATAATGAAACTTTAACGAGGCACGAGGCCGGTAACTTTGGTGGCGTCTCTTGAACACGGGGAGATGTCAAAGGAGAAGGTGCCGGGATCTCATTGGTTACAGTCCAATCATTATCTCAAACGAATGAATACATTGAATTTACCCGTTGGTGTGTTGTCTAGGTAGTTACTGGACTGTCCCGGTGCAAGTGGGAGTACTGAATAACACGTTTGTGATGGCCGCCCTGGGTACCGAGCTTCGACAACGAGCAACATGCCCTATAACCCAGTCATGTCGATTTTTGACTTTTTCATTATTTCCAGCCGTACACAAAGAATCTGAGAAATTCTCAACAATGAGCGTTGGAATAAAAGTCCCCTAGCTGCTCATGTGGATCTTTGGCTTGACGTCTGCAGCGACAAGTGGGAGTCAGAATAACAGACAGATCTATTGTGGCAGTCAGTCACATGATAATGTTACCTATTGTGTAATAGTAAGCAGATGCTATTGCCTAAATAATTGCTCAATGATTTTCTATTATTTTATTAACGATTGTTTATCAACATCGTGGGCTGTATTGGAAGCTTAGGATTAAAACACATTTGCAGTCCGTGTTATTCTGGCACCCACTTGAGGAAGTCCGATCAGATTCGATCAGAATGGGTTTGTTTGTCCCACCGTCCATGATCTGCCTTCACCTCACCAGGGATGTCTCTGTTTTGTGTCTTTAGCATAGCTCAGTGCTAACAAAGGGGTCATTCAATGCTCACCGTGCCATCCCAACACCAGAAAGTACCCGTATCGGCTTCTCCTTTCTCCCCGATCACGTTCAGCATGCCGGACACACTCTCCGCGGGGCTGATGGAGCCCTTCACTTCCCAGTTGAGTTCAATGCCGGCCATGTCGCTGTGCCAGGTGTTAGCTGGTGCCAGGTAACCAAATCAACCATGAGATTGCACTTGAGAGTTACAAAGGTAGGCACTCACGTTGCCACCTCCCCGGGATGAAGCGCTAAAACCACCGTGTCGCGCTTCTTCTGCTCCGACCGCCTCAGCTCGGCCGCCATGTGTCGTATCATCTGATTCAGCGCGCTCTTGCTAGCCGCGTACGCCCCGAACCCGTCCTCGAACTCCAGGAACCGGGCCGCCGACCCAGAGTCGGACGAGATGAAGATGATCTTGGGGGGCGGGGCGTCGATGCTCACGTTGAGCAGCTTCTGCGCGCAGATGACGGGCCCGATGGTGTTGGTGTGGAGATGGAGGGCGAAGTCCGCAAAGGAGAGCTCGGTGGCCCGGTTGGGATACTTGAGCACGCCCGCGTTGAGGACGACGTTCCCCAGCGTCATGCGCTTGCTGTTGACGGCGTCGTTGATCCTGCCGACGAATTTCTAAAATATTTCTTGATGATTAATGGTCATTCCAGGGTTGGTCTCGGTACAGTGGTGGGACGTACGCTTATGCTTTCATCGCTCGTGATATCGCACTGCTCGACGGTGCATCTGCCCTGAGCCTTCTGCGACTCAATCAAGTCGAATAGCTTGGGAGCGGCGGATAACTTGCGCACGGCCGCGACGACCTGCTCCCCGCGCTCCAACAGCTGCTTGACGAGCTCCAGGCCAATTCCTCGAGAGGCACCTACAATGAGCCATGTCTTGGGACTTGTTTCCATGTCGCTGCTGTTCACTAGAGTTAGGGGGAGCTACAGATGAATAACAGCGATCTGAGAGGGCGTGACTGGCGGTATGTATGTATTATCGCGAAATAGAATCAGTTCGGAACCCGTATCTGTATCGGCGTTGGCTATCATCCGGTGGCTATCATCCGGTGGGTACCATTACCATCTCCAGTCCTACTACTGCATGTAGGTTTGCGGGGAGGGGAAAAGCGGAACAGGATACGGTGTTTACTAGGTACATGTAGGTAGGGCTACCTAAACTATGCATTTTCGTAACACCCCCCCTTCATCACTTGTCCAGTGTAGAGAAGTAGAAACCAGGAGGGCGATGACTTTATTCGGTTGTTATTGTACCAGCATGCTATGATGGACTAAATCTTGAGAATCAAAGTATAACGCAGCAGGGACCATGCCTAATCTGATGTCCAGGACATTGAAAAGCATCGGAGCAGCTCCTCTTTGCGTGTATACTTTGGTTCTGCTTAGCGTATCCGCACTGACTGCTTGCTCTTAAACTACATTCGAGTAGGGGATGCTACATAGGAGCGTTTTCTCTTCGGTTTGGTAACCGCCAACTCCTCGTAGTCCCTACCATTCAAGGCCCAATCCACCAGATGGCCAGGTTTCTGCTGAATCTCTTCCCTGGCAGCCTTCAGCCAGAACCAGTAGTCGGCAATAGCCTGGAACCTCTCGACCCAGACGTCCAGGCTCGCCTCCCTAATCAAGCTCCGCGAAGTGTCACGCGCGCGAGCTTCATCCCACATGTTCTTGACCTGAGGGTACTTGGTTATCCAGCCCTTGACTACCTCGTCAACCTTGGCCGCATCTACGTCCTCGGCCAGATGAACATCCTTCAGAATTTCGTTCACTTCCTGCACTCGTATCGCAGGTCTCGGCCTCTTTGCTTTTAGCCTCCTGTACCCCCAACTGAGGGCGAGAAGATGTCGACGGAGCTGTTCGTCGATGACCTCGCCTGCCCAGCGTATGAGTTCCTCCCCAAACTTCTCGGTCCCATTCTCCTTGGCAAAGCAGGCGTGGCAACGCGCCCCGTCCAACTGCACAGAGCCCCGGGTGTGCCTATTCAGCCCTGTTCCGGCCTTTACGGGTGACCATCGCGCCCCGCATACGGAGAGCCGGAAAGTTCGCAGCTCTTTCCATTGCTCGCACCCTGAACAACGTACCATGTAGAGCGTCCAAGGCTCCGAGAACGGCACCGGGCCGCTCTCGAGAAATCTCGGGATCCGCACCAGCGGCCGCTTGTGGTCCAGTGCGTCCGAGAACCCCGGCAGCCACCGGTCCAGAGCACTGTAGTAGTAGACACGCCGGCTCGGCTGCATCGGGGTCAGGGCCAACCCAGCCCGCCCGTTCTTGATGCTCTGCAGCCGGCCGGTCTGGAACAGGCACTCGTTGCACAGCCGCTTGAGACGCCCAAAGCCGTGGTTCCGCGAGTCGTCCAAGTACTTGTGGTATTCCTGGAGGGCGGGCATGCGGCCCCAATATCTCGCTATGCCCCTAAACTCGTCCAAGTCCATGTCGTTAAGGTCCCTGCCATCGACTCTTTCGGCCCCGTTGCGCCGTAGCCAGTGATACCACTTCTCGATGGTCTCATCAGTGTACGAACCCGAATGGAGGCCCCTGTATCGCCGGAGACTTCTCTCTTCCGGCTGGGCTGAAAACCTGTGCTTCTGCGCAGACTTCACCCCCCTCATCAAAGACACCCAGCTAGTGAGAGCGAGAGACTCGGCACTACTTGTGTCGGGGGTGGGCTTCTTGTATCTGAGCCGGTACAGGGCTTTGTTGTTGAAATACCGGTGGGAGCGGAGCTTCAAGCAGCCTGCGCAGGCCCAGCGCATGTCCTTCAACTCATCGTTGGCGGACGGGTGGAGGCTGAAATTCCGCTGCCTGACATCCAGATAAGGGCCGCCATGGGCTTCGAGACACTCTAGGACGAGAAGCCTCTCGATAAACTGCTTCTTGGTTGGCTGGATCAGGTGTCTGAAGTGGCGCTTGGTCTGGCTGAGTGAGATGAGGGCGATTGGGTCCAGGAACGGGATGATGAGGACCAGCAATTCGTCTGGGAAATATTGGAGAGGCATCTTGGGGCAGCCTCTCAACCTCGCAGTGAAGAGTGAAGGTCAAGATTGGATGGAGAACCAAACATCTCAAAGAGTGACCTGGGAGGAGGTGTCAGCGTGGGGCAATGGGACGGGGTTGTCCGAGGGGCGCAGCGGCCTACCTTTGTGAACAGAGAGGTCAAGGTTCCGGGGTCCAGGGATCAGGGGATTGATGTCAGCCCAGCTCAATGCTTCGGACAGCCTTGCATCGTCACCGGTAGAGGGGTAGAGTGTGGTAGCATTAGCTCATGAGAGCTGACAGATCATCCTCCAAGGTCGGTTAGTCGATTGCACTTTCAACTACCATCGCACAAACTCCGCTGTGGTCGTTGCAGATTTGACAAACGGGACACGACACTTGCAGAGAGGAATGGTGATGGCTCGAATGATTCGAATTTCCCAGTTGAGTAGGTCCTGGGGGATGTGGAAAGATAATCAAGACACACTGCGATTCAAGAATGAGGGGTAAGATGGCGTGTGGCTGAGGCAGGCAGCAAGTGGCTGATGATGGGCAGGAGCATTACTTTCCAAGAGGCACGGGCAATTGTAGGAGCTGAAAGGAGCATCGGCAATGGTGTTGATGAGGCTACCCAAGTGTCTATCTAATCTCTATCTAGCAGGAAATTCAATTGATCCCTCCATACACTGGAAATGAGAGAAACCCAAGAATCGCTCGCTCAAAGTCCATTCGATCTCCAAATACAAAACTGACCGCTCCAAAACTCCGCGCAGGCAATAAAACTAGATTTTACAGGCAAAAAGAAAAACAGAAACATGATTCTCAAAACATGGCTCGTAAGATAGGATGCGTGATTTCGTTATCAAAGCTCAAAGATGCCCAAGAGTGGGGATCTAGTAGCAGTGGCGGTGGTGATGCTCGCGGACGACATCGCGCTCGACGAACTTGACGAGTGCAGGATCCTCGACGAACTGGATTCTGCGCTGCTTCTTGCGGGGGATGACAGCGAGATTGTAGAATTTCTCCAGGAAGGAGGACTCGGACATCAGGTGCTTGGGGCACCTGTTTCGAGAGTCGACGACGTAGATCTTGGGCTCATCGCAGCGGGTCTTCTCGTTTCTCTTGTAGAGGCGAGAGCACTGGCTGAACTCACGGGGCTTCTTGCAGCCGCACTGGTACTGGACGTATTCG